TTATTATGTGGATGACATTAGTATCAGACTTGTGATATCTTTATGTGTTATTCTATTATCTGTAGGGCTTTGTTGACTTTATTATGTGGATGACATTAGTATCAGACTTGTGATATCTTTATGTGTTATTCTATTATCTGTAGGGCTTTGTTGACTATTTCAAGTTCTGTGTATTATTGCTTTCATTGAGTATTTGTTGCTATGTACTTGCTTTTGATGTATATTATCTTTTTCCGTATTTATGATCATGTATTATTATGTGATATTTTTTTGGTTAGGGTTATTGTAATGTTATTATGTGGATGACATTAGTATCAGACTTGTGATATCTTTATGTGTTATTCTATTATCTGTAGGGCTTTGTTGACTATTTCAAGTTCTGTGTATTATTGCTTTCATTGAGTATTTGTTGCTATGTACTTGCTTTTGATGTATATTATCTTTTTCCGTATTTATGATCATGTATTATTATGTGATATTTTTTTGGTTAGGGTTATTGTAATGTATGTGTAGGCTTAAGTATATGCCTTTAGTTGGATTATGGCCCAATTGCATACGCTGCCTAGCCTAGTCACGCACTTGTCATGTGAAATTGGGACACCACACGTGACATTGGGGATTAGGACTGTGTCCATCTTTTGTAGGGCTTTCTTGATATTCTCCTCGATGACGTTAGCAACTATAGCTGCCACTTAGTCTAATCGCATCTAAGACAAAGTTGTCCCCAAGCTGCTACCAAGAATAGGTGATTTGTCATCGGCAATGTCACCGATATTAGACATCTTTCAAAGTTGATCAAAGCTTGGCCCGATGCCAAATGTTGAAGTTGAAAATCAATATATATATAGAAGTAAATCTGTAGCATTAGGCTCAACGATGAGGGTCACATGATCTCCTTCGATGTCTAATGGTGAGGTCTTGCTAATGATGACCTGATGTACACAGAAAATGTGTCAGACCGACATTGGTGAGCTATCTACCAAATGCCACATCCGATGCCTAAATCAGACTCTTGATAATAAGTAGTCAAAACATGTAAATCTAGTTAAGGTTTTAGAAGATAAGGATCATAGAATGAAGGTTGGCAGTGACCAGCATTGTAATTGACTGAGGTCCTATCTTACCTTAGGTAGGAGGGGTGTTTATACATATTATCTAGGGCAAATGAGCCACTACATTTGTCACCATCCTAACAGCTGAGGTTGTGATGGCTCTTAATTCGCTTGCAAGTAAATCCACATGGCGGTACGTCATTGGCGTAGAATAGTACATCCAACGTATGTGTTGTGGATCTGTTAAGTTACGGAAGGTGCTAACTAGAGAGATTGGGTATCCAATTAATATCTCCTTACATAGCATGTGGAGGATGTGATATGGTTTGAACCAATTATTTCCAATTAGGCAGATCACTATAAAACCAGACCGAGTTGGGGCGTAGGCATAGTAACCAAGCTGATGAGTTCAGTTGTTATGAACCTTTAGCTCTATATCCAAACTTTTAGGTCAATTTCATAGACAGTGGCCGGATTGTATGTTAAGTGCAGATGTGCCACAATTGATCAACTTAAAATGCTTACCTGGTTGGTCGAGTCAAGCTGTTGTTGTAATGTGGTCTGGTTAGTCAAAATGTCAAATCTGGGTTATATGCATAACAAAAACTCCAAAAGTTTTTCTAAGACGTGTAAAGTTCAATTTTTTTTTAACTTTTATGCATTTTTGGGGGAAAAAGGTTTCGATATCAAAGTTAAAAATAGTTTATATTTTTGGGTATTTATGTGTAAGTAACACTAAATGAGTTTATTTGAAATTATACAACATTGAAGGTCCACAGTAAAAATTCTTTAAGTTGGGTACGAACCCAAAACCCTGATCCCATAAAACCGAAACCCTAATACAGTAACACTCAAAATCGACAGCCATGGCGACAGAGATGGATATCGACGATCTCCCAAAACCCAAGGAGCTCTTCAAATCCGCAGAGAAAGGAGACGCCTCTCTTTTCAAATCCCTCACCGGCGACCAACTCAATAATGTTCGATCCTTGCGCAACGACGACGGCCGATCTCTCCTTCATGTCGCCGCCGCCTCCGGCCAATCCGAGGTAATTTGTCGTTCTCTCGATTCTTCTACCAATTTCTGTTATTTTTGTTTTTGTTTTTTTGAGATTTGTGTGGTTTTAAATGGAATAGGTGGTCAGGATTATATCGGATGTGGATCCTTCAGTGAGTGGAATCAACAGTAAAGATGAGGAAGGATGGGCTCCGATTCACTCTGCTGCTAGCTGTGGGCATGAGGAAATTGTTGAGATTTTGATCGAGAAAGGTGAGATTTTTTTATTGTTTTGGGCGAAAGATTTGATATTTGAAATGATGAAGCAAAGATATTGTTAACTGGATAAATGGGCATTGAGTAAGTGTATTTTTGAGGATACTTAAGAGTTTTTGTGAATCTAGCAACCAAAATATCGCATATCCAACCATAAATATTGTTTAATCTCAACTCATAACAAGTATTAAGCCCATGCTCGCACGGTTTGTTTGAGTTTCTTTGGTCCATCTATGTTGGTTTATACGCCCTTTTTCAATAAGGGATTGACCTAAGGCTCGAAACTGAACTTCGGATACATCAAGCTACACTAGTGTAATAAGAGATGATTATATTTCTTTGTAGACTATAACTTACAGATCATTTATTACTAATTCATTAAATGCTTATGAAGGAAGAGGCAATGAGTACTTCTTTTTCCTATATTATGAGAAGAAGAGAGTAAAGTTTTCTTATCAATTAAAGTAGATATTTTGAGTGGTAGGGTTTTTCTGTTGGGGGAGGGCTCAAGTGGAACTTAAAATTAGAATTGGGCTAATTTGTGGAACAAATTTTTATAATGTTAGTCATTTGGAACTAGAACTAGGATAAAATTATACAGTGTTAGTCAACTAAAACTGGATAAACAGTAAAAGTGGGATAATAGTAAAATTTATCTCATTTTTGTCAAATTTATATAGAAAAGAGAGTTCTAGTGTCTCAAATTGCCCTAAGTTTTAAATTGGACCTAGATGGCAAAAAACTAGAGCTTTCTTATTCGCTTTTCTATTTTTTGTATTTCATTTCTCCATCATCTTCAAACCACACCCTCCATCATCTTCAAACCACACCATAGATTAGATCACATCTCTTCTTACCCTTCTATTTAATGTTATTTTCATTTTTTATTAAATATTAGAATTGTGTAATTAATTTACATTTAAAAATTATAAAATTCATGTTTTATTAAAAATTAATTACAATTGAGAGATGACAAAATGATGTCTATCATGACTTATATGCTTATTGGTTATTGAAAATTATCCTTAATTATATTAACAATTGTCCCACTAAAATATCATGATTTAAAAAATTACTCCCAATTATCCCACTAAAATATCCTACTTTAAAAAATTATCTCATACGTTCTACTTCTATTAAAAACGTCCCAGTTGACTAATACCCCCTAAGATAAATTACAATTTTAAGCTAGTTTAACCATGAATCTCCTTTACAAATCTAAAAAATTCAATTTTCAAAAACTAAAAATGATTATGATCTCAATGCAGGGAGATTTCAATCAATGCTCATAATTGCTTTGTCAGGATTGGGATACGAATCAGATTAAGACTTTCCTCTAACCCCTCAAAATGGTAATTGTAGCTCCACCATCCCTTAATATTAAGGACATAGGACTTTCCCAATGATTATTATACCCTCCCACCTCATGAATCCCCACATAAATGATATATTATAATTAGTGTTTTCATAATCGGTTGATTTTATTGATTTATCACCGATATATCGGGTTTGGATTATGGACGATACGATTTCAGTAAGAATTTATCGCATATCATTTTGGCCGGTTTCTCCTAATATACCACTTTAAGTTTGATTAAGCGACCGACTTCTAGTGGGTTAAAATTGTCCGATTTCTGGTTTTAGATATTGTTTGTAATTTATAGATTTAAATGGCACTGTTTAGAATTTATTGAATTTTGTCGTATTATTTATAATTCTCAAATTTTGTAAGTGTTTATTTGTAAATTTTAAATCTTATGGGTTGTTTGCAACTTTCATGGAGTTATTTGTAGTTTTAAGATTTTTTATGGGTGTTTGTAATTTTTGAAACTTTCAAGTGCCTTTGCAAAATTTATGGGGAGTTGTTTGTAATATTTCAAAATTTTCAGCAGAGTAGTTATTATTTTCAAAACTTTCATGGGGCTAATTGTAAAATTTTCAAGTGTTTGTTTGTAAAATTTTCTATGAGATATTTGTAATTTTCAAAACTTTCAGGGGAAAGGTTGTAAAATTTTTATGGGTTCGTTCATAAAATTTTAGGGGGCTATTTATAATTTTTAGAGTTTTAGGAAGTTTTTTTACTTTTTGGATTTTTAGGTACTACTATAATGCACGTGCTTTGCGTGTCGATATTTTTATATTTAATATTATATTATTTAATAAATTATCTATAATATTTTACAAAGTTATTTTATTACACTATGATTAAAATTTTTAAGTTATACTATTATAAGTACTTATACTATTATTAACATACATTTAATACTTATTTAAATTTTCTTATTATTATATTATTAAACAATTTATTTAAGAGTATAATTATTAAATAATAATGTAATCATTAGTTTAAGTAACACTATTGAAATAAGTAAACCATTTATATTATTAAATATTTATGTTATGTACATATTTTATTACAATATCTATTAAATAATGGCAATATTTTAATATTATATGACTTTATGTTGTAAAGAATATTACCTTGTTCAATGATTAATATGATCTTAGTAAAAAAAATTAGATTGTATAAATTAAAAATACTATTATTTATGAAAAATACTTTATATAAAAATATTTGATCCTTAAAATTTATGAGACATTTACTTTCGAACAAAAAGTGCATGTCTCATAAATCTCAAGAATCCAATTTTTTTATATAAAGTAATTTTCCTAAATAAAAGTATTTTTAATTCATAACGTCCAATTTTTATTACTAAGACAATATTATAATATCAAAAAAGGTAATATTCCTTGCAATATAGAGAATCAATCCCTATTTATACTATTATTAATAATTATAATTATGTATGATAATTTATTAAGTAAATAATTTTACTATTCATTACAAATTACAATTAATAATTTTTATATTGAATTATAATATATTTATTAATTATATTATCGTTATAAATTATTAATATATTCTAGTGAATGACCAAATATGTTGGTAAAAAGAAGAGAAAAGTATATGTCTCATAAATTCCAAATATCTTTATATAAACTAATTTTCTAAAATAAAAGTATTTTTAACTTATAACGTCCATATTATTATTACTAAGATGGTATTAATTATCGAACAACGTGATATTCTTTAACATAAAGAAATTACCCTTATTTATAATATTTTTAATAATTATAATTATGCAGAATAATTGCTAATAATTTATATAACTAATAATTCTTTATAATAAATTATCACATAGTTATAAATTTTGGTATCATATAAATTATTAATATATTCTAGTGAATGACCAAATAATTTGAGAAAATGAAGAGGTGCATAATTAATGAGAGGTTATGGATCATTAGCTTTATAAATAATGGTATAATTGTGAGTTATAAAAATTGAGAGGGTAAAAAAGGAAACCAAAAGTTTTGAGATGAGTATTCTCTTTTGTAAGTAGTATAGATTGTTTGTAATTTATGGATTTCATAAGGGGCAATTTACAATTTTTTGAATTTTATGGTACTATTTACAATTTTTTGATTTTTTAGAGATTTATTTGTAATTTTTGAATCGTAAAGATTATTTTCAAATTTCTAATTTTTAATGGACCTATTTGGAATTTTATGTTTATGAAGAGGTTGTTTCTAATGTGTGGACCTTGGAGGCAGTTTGTTTTGAGATTTTTAGGGGATTGTTTATAATTTTTGGATTTTGAAGGGAGTAGTGATAATGTTGTAATCTTAAAAGACCCTTTTATATAAAGGAGAGTTTTGATTAATAGAATTTTCAAAATTATGGATAGTTTAAATTTGATAAGGATTGTTAGATAAAGAGGATTAGAAGAGGGTTTTATTATTAGAATTTTCTAATTATAGATGCTTTTAGTTTGATTTATAATTCTTAGATAAAGAAATGATTAGATGTTCATGTGTCATCTTCTGATAAGATTAGGTGTCCAAGTGTCATCTTTTGATAGAGACACATGATTATTTTTTCATATGACAAATGTCATGCATTTAACACATCCAGCCATAAATTTTAATCTCAATTCATAATGTCTTTGTTTGCGAATTAAAGTAGCTTTGGTTCAAATTTTGATATATATATCTTTGTCTGAGAACTTAATGTTCAATGTTGTTGTATGTATATTGCTGTAATATTATGATTTGTGAAATACTATTCAAAGTGGACGCTTAACAATGTCTCTTTTTCATTAGAAACTCCATTTTTTAAATGAAATCAAATACCTATATGTAACTATTTCCATACGAGATCATTTAGTTATAAACAAGTGGCTATGATAATAGCATGGAAAGTATAAAGGCGTCAATAATAGTTTATTTTCCAGAGGGGCTAGTTTAGGACTGACTGACTCATGTTGCATTACTGCAGACCAAGGTTTCAAATATCGGTTATCAGGGATTTATCGGACGGTCAAAATCCATATCTGATAGCGGATCGGGGATATATCTGGGATAAGTAGTATTTATGGGAGTGACATTACTGGATGGTGATATACATAATATAATATTTCCAAATATAATCTAACCATACTTAATGAAATATAAGCATACCAAAAATTAAATAATTATGTTTAGGATCACTAAACAATTATAGAAACTTAGGTCGGGTTGGGTTTAAAGTGCATTGAATAGGTGCTTACTGCCCGAAATCAAAACTCAAATCAAAGGCCAATAAATCTGATTTTTGGGCCGGTAGTATCGGCTAATAACTCATTTTATTGCTGCATTATCGGCGATAAACATCCAAAAATGATAACCGATTTAGAATCGAACTTATCATAGCGGAAGGCCCTCAAAACCGATAAATCGCCGATATCGGTTTATCGGCTGATATTTAAAACATTGCTGTAGACAGTGACTATTGTTTTACAAGAATACTATAGATAGGTCATAATACGTTCATGAATAATTTTAGTACAGTTTTGTTTTGTTAGAAACGTCAGCAAAAATATTCTTCCCTTAAGAATATGACTAGCTCTATTGATACCTTTCATTTACTAATGCACCAGTGTTCAAAGTCATTTGTCTCTCTTCCTGTCAATTACAATTTGTGAGTATCTTTATAGTAAATGGAAATTCATTGTTTGATTGTCTGACAATAAATATTTATGAACAGGTGCAGACATTAATTTAACTAACGACGGTGGTCGAACTGCACTTCATTATGCTGCTAGCAAAGGTCGTGTGAAAATAGCTGAAACTTTGATATCGCATGGTGCAAAGATTAATAAAAAAGATAAGGTAAATATAATATCATATATCTTGAGTTAGAACTGAAATAAATCTTTACCTTTTTGGTTCCTTGCTGGACTACGTTTAGGTCGGGTGCACCCCATTGCATCGAGCAGCAAGTACAGGAAATGCGGAATTGTGTGAGCTTTTAATTGAGGAAGGAGCAGAGATTGATGCTACTGATAGGGCAGGCCAAACTCCTCTCATGAGTGCAGTGATATGTGATAACAGAGAGGTAAATCTTCTCTGCAATCTTTTGATTGGAGCAAATCTTTTTATTCTTTAATCTGAAAGATCAAAACTTGTGCTGAATCAAGAATATAAATTAAAGCTCCTGCATGCCTTTTCGGTTTGATGCCTGAGCTCCTCTTCAACAAGTTATGACTAGTGCTGCTTCATTCAAGAAAATCTTAAAATATTTTAATTGAGCAATCTCGAAAGTAATAAAATCTATGTCTAGACTGCAGCTTGTAAAGCAATGGTTACAAAATAATGTAATGAACATGAACTATAGCAGCTGTGGGTCCAGGGAACATGCTTGCCTTTTCGCCAAAAGATTTATACCCACTTAAAGCTGACTTCTTATAGTGCATTCACAACCAATTATTTTGTGCAATTATCCTAGTAAATGAGAAACTATAGCTGATTGTTGGGTATCAGTGTTGGAGAAAGTGAAGGCGCCGGAGGTGACAAAATAGAGTTTTGAATTAGTGGGCTTTACTTAGATTCTGCAGCATAAATCACCAAGTTTTCATTTGCAAAAATTGAAAACAAGCAGACATTATAAATAGAAAAAGGACAAAAATTCAGAATTTGCATAATAAATAAAACAATAAGTATTTGTTGCTAAAATATTAATGAGAACAATAAACATGAACGAGAGAAGGTGATAGATCAATGTAAATATTGCAGTTGGGGCTAAAGCGCCTAAAAAACGGTATAGTGAAGCGAGGGTTTGAGCAGAGCTTTAGCGGTCTTTTTACAACAAATGTTGTGTATGAGGATTTTAAAATATATCCCTTGAACTTCTTCTCTTACACTAGTCTACTTGATGACTTTTCACTTTAATTCCTCAAGTGACATCAAGAAGTCTAACATGTCACATGCCAATCACACAACCAAAAAATGAAAGAAAATACCCCCTCAATGCTAAAAAAATCACCAATTTATTATTTTTTACTGTTTCCATTAGTTTTTAGGCCGAGTGGCGTTTTCTCCTTTTTTTTTTCTTTCTTTATCATGTGCTTGGAACATGACAAATTAGATTTGAGGGTGCTAATTTAGACGTTAAAGTGAAAAATCTCCAATGGGTTTAGTGGAATAGAACATCTTCAAGGGGGTTATGTGAAAAACCACTCAAACTTAGGGGTGCTTTCTCAAAAACAGCCAAACATGATGGGGGTTGGGTTGTGAAATTTAGCTTTTTGGGGGATATATAAAAGATGGTATAAAAAACTTCTTTTTCCTTGGTGTTTATACCTACTAAAATAGTTAGGGGGTTATCTCAAAAATGGTCGAACTTGGTGGAGGTGGGGTTGTGAAATTTACCTTTTCTAGGGAAGATATAAAAAATGATATTAGTTACACGGTTTACAGCCTTAAATGTAATGGAATTAGCATGTAGCTGCTGATGGAGTAGCTACAAATGAGTTCCCACCATATCAATAAGTGTCTGATGTTGAACTACTCATCCCATATACATTATTTGAATTCTTATCAATTTCATTTGACGAAACAATGTCGGCTATTTCAACCGATCACGTACACATCCCCTGGCATCCAGCTAAGTTACCGTCTTTACGGAACTTGTACCTATTGTTGTATTGACGGTTACATGTTGATGTTACAGCGTATTGTACTAGTGTTGGTTCTATACTCCTCAATCACAACCTTATTAACCACAATTTAATTAAAAAAATTTTTAATGGTGCAGGTTGCTCTTCTTTTAATTAGACACGGGGCCAGTGTTGATGTTCAAGACAAGGAGGGATACACTGTGTTAGGCCGAGCCTCAGATGACTTGCGACCTATTCTGATTGATGTTGCCAAAGCAGTGCTTGAAGCCTAAAGGTACTCTGCTGATGATAATACTGGAAAAGATGATAAGGGCAGGGTTAACATAAGTTTGTTGAAGGAGTGTTGAAGAAGTTGTAAACATGTTAACTGAGTATCAACCCTCTCATGGTGCTGACCAGCATATTACTCTTTTTTTTTGTTTTTTGCCCCCCTTTGCTGATATGTTGACGGTTCTTTTTTTATTAGTACTAGTATTTTCGGTGCCCAGGATGCGAGCGTGACACAAAAAATTGAAGGCATTTTTGTTTGATTTTTACGATGGTGAGAGCATTTTTTTTTTTTTGCAAGTGTGAAGGTATTTATTTTGATTTTAAAATGAGAGGGCATTTCTGAAATTTATGAAAAATTGACATACAAACAAACTGGGTGGTTTTTCTTAAACAATAGTATAGATTGTTATTGTGATGCAGCCCTCCGCTCAAAATCTAACGTCCTTGTACAAGTGATGAATTGGTTTTAAATTGGTTATATGTTTCGGTCGGAATTGGTGTTTAGTAGATATGATACGTTTAGATTTGGTATTATTTTAAGGTGATAACTTTTTATCTATTAACATATTAAAATAAAACTTTTTATCTATTAACATATTAAAATAAAATGGTGAGACGTTAAAATTTTCGGGGGGTAATTAGGCCAGACTAATTAGTCATTTTAAAATAAAATACTCGAGATGTCAGACTAAGCAAATGAGGGGAGTGGTTTTTATAATAGCCCTGAAACTATCTCCACTTGAGATGAAATTCGAAAAGGACTCCTCGTCGTTTACCTTACCCGTGACAGTGACGACGACGGCGACGATGATGTTCGTCGGGGATGTTGACTGTTGGCAGCCCTTGGCTTCACTGTCTACTAGGGGAACCGGACTTAATGGCAAAGGAAATATACAGAAATATATAAATAGTAAATATCCAAAATAGGTGGGGAACCCTTCATGATAATACTCTAATTAATATCCACCCACGCAAATGACGGGTTATAGCTTCTAATAATAATTTGAAGCCAGCAAATTTTTAAAAGTTTTGGCTCAATATAGCATGTAGGATTATTATATCTCCAGACTATAGTGAGTTAAAAGTAATCCCTAAATAAAACAAGTCTCCAATCTAAACATGGTGATGGAGTAATGCTCTGGCCGAGGCTTGGAGCTTGGCTAGAACTATGGGGGCTTTTATTTTGCAAGCGAGAAGTTATTTGAACTTGTGGGAAAGGAAAAACTAAAGTTTATTCAAGTTGCATATGACCTCTTGCCAATTTCAGATTAGATAACAAAGGTCTATGAATTGATTTAACATAAACTTTGATTTTACATAAACTTCTAGTTGCATGTTATATGGGGCTATACCCTTTTTTTATCACGTCTATGGTGCATACGACAATCGAATCCAGACCCCCCACGAGGAAGCGACACGGCTTTGCCATGTGACCTATTGGGCCGCCTTATATGGAGCTATACCTAAATACGTAAATTTAGGTTGCATATATTTGTTTAGATCATTTTTTTTTCTTTTTTTTATCATTTTTTCTTTTATTTGTTCATCGACTATTTTTTCGTATTTATTACTTAATCCTTTATTCAAGATGTTCAGGATTTGTTCAGGTTCTTATCTTGAATTGTTGCATAGAAAACCATTCTAAAAGGGCTACCCTTCACCAGTAGCCATGATATCTCTTTGCCTTTTATGGTACATGGTCACCTTCCACCTCTTTATGCACAATTAATAGACTATCATCTTCCTACATAGTTTAACTTCGTTCTTGTCCTATTTTGTATGAGGGTAAATTTCACATATACCTCCTTAACTTTGGGCATTTCTTTGATAAACCCCTTAACTTTCAAAATGTACAAATCCAACCCCCCCAACCCACAAAAAAACCACCACCACCACCACCACCACTCCCTCACCTCCCAAAAAAGTTTAGGGTTCTCAGAAAATCCCCTACAACTTCAAACATTTTTCACAAAACCGCCTAGTGGTGTTAGTTTGGTTTTTTTTAAATTTAAAGGGAATTTTGCGGTGTCTTGAAAGTCAAGAGGATTGTGAGTTTTTTCAAAAAAATTCCTGGTAATAACCTGTTGTAGTCTCTTGCGTACGTGTGTGCGTGTGGGTGTGTGTGTGAGTGTTTTCCTGGTAATAACCTGTTGTAGTCTCTCGATCTCTCTGGATCCCTCTTCTCGACGCCACCTTCTCCTCCTCCACGAGCTCCATTCCCCCCATACTCCATCAAGCCCTCCGCCATTAAGCTCCCCCATAACCCCTTCAAACTGTTACCTCCTTCGTCATCAGAAAATGTGTTTAAGCAAAATGGGTATGCTTCAATTTTAATAGAAAAATGTGAGTTTTTTTAATGGATTATGTTGGCTTGGTTTCTGATTGATAATTTTGACAAAATTGTTTGGTTTCTTTAGTTTTTTTGTTTAGAATTAGATCGTGTCAATAGGGTTTTTTTGCAATCTTAATTAACTTTGTTTTTATCATTTGACTTAGAGCATGCTCTGCTATTGTAAATACTTTGTGCGTCTCTTATATTACTCTTCTTTCTTGATTTTAGAAAACCTGGTCATTGTTTTTCTCCTAAAACTTTTATTGGCAATTAGTGATCAAAAACTTCATTGGGTTTTTGGTTTTTTATGGGTTCTGGACCCTTTTGATATTTTATTTGGATAAATATCCTCCTTGTAAAAATCTTTCATCAGCCATGTAAATTAAAATTTCGAACTGTCAAATTTATCCTTTGAGGAACAAAATGCCGCAAAGAATCGTGGTTTGAAGCAGTCATGAGCCATGATCATCTTACATTGCTAGAACTTATTCTTTTGAAATTATTGCGCTTATGACATTTTTTAAAGTTTTTTCTTCCTTGCATTTGTTTTACAGAAAATAAAGTCAACTAGTATAGCGTTCGGAATGGCAGAATCAAGTGCTATTGGAAGTGAAATTGCGGGCAATACTAAAAATGCTCCTAAATCACTACTCGGAATGAAGTTTAATACTTATGAAGAAGCTTATAACTATTATAACTCTTATGCATTATTGATGGGTTTTGGAATAAGGAAGAGCACAATAAATTACTCTCGCAAGACTAGAGACGTGCTAGACACAAAGTTTGTTTGTGATAAGGAGGGCTATAGATCTAATAAAGACAAGATAGAGGTGTCTTTTCGATGAGAGACCCGAGTGGGATGTAAGACAATGATGAGAGTTAAAGTATTGAAGGATAAATCGTGGGAGGTCACGGGGTTTGTTGAAGAACATACAAATCATGTGTTGAGTAGTCCAAACAAAGCAAAAATACACAGATCACATCAACAATTCCATAAAACTCAAAGATGTAAAAAACTTATTGAGAGTCTGCAAGAAGAAGGTATGCCTCCATCTACTATTTCTCACGTCATTAATACAACCAATGGAAGAGAAGGTGAATTAGTGACACCACAACAGTGTATTGATCACATCAGAACCCATAGAGGTAACAATATTGGCCATGAATGCATATCTATCATTCGATATTTTCAGAGTATAACAGCAAATGATCCAGAATTTTATTTTACAATAGAAGTAGACAGTAGTGGACAAATGAGGAGTGTTTTCTGGGCCGACGGAAGATCAAGAGCATCTTATTTGCAATTCAGTGATGTTGTTGTGTTTGATGTGACATACAGAACTAATAAGTTTAGTCTTCCATTTGCTCCATTTATTCGTGTGAATCGCCATAGGCAGTCCACTTTACTTGGTTGTGCACTATTAGCTGATGAACAAGAAGATACCTTTGTGTGGTTATTTCAAAAATAGCTGAAATGCATGCATGAGGTTGAACTAGGTGCTATTATAACAGATCAGGATAGAGCCACGTGTAATGCTATTCACTCAGTGTTTCCAATGACAAGACACCGTTATTGCTATTGGCATATGCAAAAGCACATTACTGATCATTTGCCTACTTTGGGGTCTCGTTATGGTGAACAGTTTCAAAGGGATTGGGGCTTGTGGTATAATAGTTCTTTAATTGAACAGTGTGAAGGATATTGGCTTGAAATAAAGGAGAAGTTTGATATAAATGAAGAAGGGGATGGATGATTGCAAACACTTTACAAATATCAAGAACATTGGATGCCATGTTATTTGAAGGATACTTTTTTTGTTGGAATGAGATCAAGCCAAAGGAGTGAAAGTATTAATGCTTTTTTTGATGGGTATGTTAACTCACATACTCAATTACACGAGTTTGTGACACAATATGAAAAACAGTAACTCAACATCGCTTAAGTGAAGCCCATGAAGATTTTAAGAGTCTTAACACAAAGCATGTCATGCTCCTTAGACATCCAATTGAGGTCCAAGCTAGAGAAATGTATACACGCAATATGTTTGCTATGTTCTAAATAGCATTCAAAGGATTTGGTACAGAGTTTTGCGAAGAATTAGGAAAAAATGGGGATATTGTTGAATACAAGATCTGTAAATTTACAGATAGAGGAAAATGGGGGATGGTTACTTATGAATAATCCAGTCAGATGCAGTTCATTTGTATGTGTGCTTTGTTTGAGACTAATGGTGTTGTATGTAGACATATATTGTCGCTAATGATGGCTAGGCAGATGGATTCATTACCCGACCATTACATCCTACACCGTTGGACTAAACATGCTCGACATCGTAACATTAGGGTTGGCAACATTGTATTTGGAAGAAACATCAGAAACTGTGAAGAGAAGATTAATTTATTGAAATCTTGGGCTTTAAGAGCAAAATTCAATAATGCGCTTGAGCTTGCATTTGACTCGGATGAGAAGATGCAAAAATTAGATGATGTGCTAATAAATTTCATGGAATCACTTGAAGAAGAAGTTAGAGAAACTCAAGATCAAATGGTAGATACTCCTCAGATTTCCACACTCATTTCACATACAATAGAGCGCATTCCTCAGATTATAGTTCGTGATCCTGATAGACCTACAAGGATTAAATGTCGTCCATGCAATGCTACTAGAATCCAATCGGGTTTAGAACAAGCACAAGAAAAGAAAGAGAGAAAGAAACGTATATGTAGCAGATGTGGTGAACTCGCGCATTATAGAACTAGCTGTAAAGTCAACTTGTCAAGGTACAATTAATATTTTTTTATATGTAGGTTTTTGTGAATTTTTTATATGTTCATTTTAGTTGTTTTCAAGTTCAGTTCTGTACTTTTAATTTCAACAGGGAATGAGCACACGAGACTACTTCAGTTAGTGGTACAAATATATTCTTGCACTAATTG